ATTGAAATTTTGTTTTCCTTCCAGGTCTAGAGTGTTGTGGTTGGTTTGGTAATCCAGTTCCTATTGCAGTGAATTGTCGTCTATTCTGCAATTGTGTTGCTAATTGTTGTATTTGTTCAGGGTTAAGATTATTGTTTGGTGGTTGTGTGAATGGTATCTAACTTTTGTATTGTTTCTTTTTTTTGTTTATATATTTAATACAGATAATAAGAGTTGTTATGATTGTTGTTAATACAGTTAATATTGCTCCTAATACTTCAATGATTGTTACTAGGTTATTGTTTGAATTATTTGTTTGTGTGGGTGTGACTATTACAATAGATAGTTGAGTGTTTAAAATGGATAATGGAGTTTGAATTGATTGTGTTGGATTTGTAGATAATATGGTAGATGATACAATTGTAGTTGTTGAGATTGGCGTTATTGTGATTGAGATTACAATCTGTGCTAATGTGATTTTTAAGTATAATGTAAGTATTGTCAAAATAAATAATAGTAAGATTCGTATATTCATGTAAAATAGCTTCACTTGTATTGTTTCCAATAATATAGTATTGTCAAAGGTGATCAGTCTCTGAGTTTACTGTTAAGCATATTAGTCTCTTTATTCACTAATAGTTCTTCATTATTGGGGTTCAATCCGGTAAGTATATATTACTTAACAAGTTTCTCAATATTACACATTCAAATACGATAATAGTTTCTTTGTTACAAAAGTTTCTTTATTAATAAATATGAATTGGTTATAATATATGTATACAGGTTTTATAATTCAATAGAGTAGTTTAAGCTTTCGATAAATATAGTGTTTAGCTATTATAGCTGTTATTATTATGAGTAGTGTCGATAAAATTATTAATAATATTGCAAGAATAACTATGAGTAATGAATCGCTATATGTTCCTAAGTTTTCAATTGGTTTTATTGAAAAAATCAAAGTCTTCATTATTAATGTATCCAGGATCATGGCTTTCGCTATTTTTACTACTTTTAGTTGAAACCACTTTTTTTATGCCAGAAGCTTTAGGTGTCTTTTGACTTGCAGACACTTTCTTAGAAGTACGTTGATTTCGTTTTACACTAGTTTTCTTGGCTATTATAATAATTTTCTTTGAAATACACAATACGATTAACAACTATAAAAATTAAGCAGTTTGGAAAATAAATTTATAATTAATACATCTCATAAGTATGTACTATTTGTTTATTTTATATGATGTATAAAATCTGTTTTATGCACATGATTTTTTCAACAAGGAAGTTTTTTTATAAGCTTAGTAAAATCGTGCAATGTAGAATGAATTAATTAAGTAATCAGTACCCAAGTAAGTTCCCCGTACTATGAGTAAGAGTATCTAAATTGATTTATTAATTAGAACAAAGACTAATTTAATTTTTTTTGGACTTTTACTCTTGAATTATATTATTTACGTCATTTCTCATAAAATTACATATATTTCCTTATGTTACTATGATTTTTTAATTAATCAATTAATTAATCATTCCATCCATCATTAATTATTACACTATATCGATACACCCGATCCTGATCGATCCCTCAGAGACATTATTACTACAATTTCGACTCTATTGAAAGTCACCAACTTGCTACAACTGATAGAAGATAGGAATAGTAATAATCTATAAGAGAAGTTTTGGAATTCTTAATTTATAACATCTTTATTTAATATTATAGAATTAGCACTTTGAATCTAGAAGTAGAATTTTATTAAATGCATAGTGATAGTCGAATTTGATGCTTCTAAGAATATGCATCATATTAAAAATACGTATGTACTAAAATAGGTTGGATTATATATTACGACCAACCTGTAAAAACTTGTTTGAAGTATGCACATATAATCAGATCGGCTCAGATCATAGTGAGAATTATGCTGAGATGAATATTATAGCGATACTTTTGTAGTTTTAAAAGAACAAAAGACTTTTTTATTTCACCTAACAAAAGGTATATTCGAATTGAAGTATTAGTAGCTTGTAACAATGATCTGATTAAATTGATTAATAATATTTATCAAATATAGCTATATTATTTAATTCTATTTATTTAATTTAATTTATTATTTTATACATAAGTATAATTTATTAAAAATAGACTATTTAAATTTATAGCAAATAAATTATTTACTTTAAAAGCTTCGAGCATTAACAGTTAAAAATAAATTATCTATTTTTTAGATCAGATTAAATTTTGTTGAGAATTCATTGTTTATCATGTAAAAAATGCAAAAGTAATACTTGAGCGACTTTTATCCATAAATTTTTGAAGAAAAAAAGATGAGTTGAATCTCGTTTGGTTAATTTATTTAATTTCAAACCAACTAAAAATTTATTTCCATTCATTGAGTGAAGTGCTTGAGATCACCTTTACTCAGTACAGCAATATTATTAAATTTCATCTGTATGTATATTCGAAATGCTTGGTATGATTAGTTTGTACAATAAACCTAACAAGAAATAGTAAAAAATAGTTATGTTCATACGTACATACTTCTTTTCAATTCTAATTCTGGGTCATATGCTACAGTTTGGGTAATATATAATAATGATCACTAGGTTAAGAATTTGGTTAAATTTTGTTCTTATTTTCGATTTTGCGAAAAAAATAGTAAAGGTTTACTATTTAAGAATTTGCAGTATAAATTTAGTTTTTCTCTCAAAATTACAATTTTATGAAAATAATAATAACAAGAAAATTCAATGATTTATGCTAGTTACTGATTTATTCAGAGACTCAGTGGTGATAAGCGTAGGTTACACAAGATCAGATCTGCATATAAATACAATTTTTTTTTTTACTTTCATTTTTCTTTTTTTACGTCTAGTATTAAATTTCACCCTTTCTCTTTTTTTGCTTCTAAATAATGTCACTGGTATCGTTAATCTTCTTTAGTCGTGTCTTTTGTTTAAAAACTTTCATATTTCTCTTTCTATGCTTTTAAGTTATCATTGTTGGTGTCGTTAATCTTCTTTAGTCATGTCTTTTGTTTAATAACTTTCATATTTTCTTTCTATACTTTTAGATAATGTGGTAACTGATTCAGTACTTTCTCTTTCAGTATACGTCGTTGGTGTTGTTAATCTTCTTTTGGCATGTTTTTGGTTTAAGAACTTTTGTATTTCTCTTTCTATACTTTTAAGTAATTGTCATTAATATCGTTAATCTTCTTTAGTTGTGTCTTTTGTTTAATAACTTTTGTATTTCTCTTTTTATACTTTTAAATAATCGTCATTGGTGTCGTTAATCTTCTTTAGTTGTGTCTTTTGTTTAATAACTTTTGTATTTCTCTTTCTATACTTTTAAATAATGTGGTAACTGATTCGGTACTTTCTCTTTTGGTATACGTCGCTGGTGTCATTAATCTTCTTTAGTCATGTCTTTGGTTTAAGAGCTTTCATATTTCTCTTTATATGCTTTTAAGTAATCGTCGTTGGTATTGTTAATCTTCTTTAGTTGTGTCTTTTGTTTAATAACTTTCATATTTCTCTTTCTATACTTTTAGATAATGTGGTAACTGATTCAGTACTTTCTCTTTTGGTATACGTCGTTGGTGTCATTAATCTTCTTTTGGTGTGTCTTTGGTTTAAGAACTTTCGTATTTCTCTTTTATACTTTTAAGTAATTGTCGTTGGTGTTGTTAATCTTCTTTAGTTATGTCTTTTGTTTAATAACTTTCATATTTTTCTTTCTATACTTTTAGATAATGTGGTACCTGATTCGGTACTTTCTCTTTCGGTATATGTCATTGGTGTCGTTAATCTTCTTTCGGCGTGTCTTTGGTTTAAGAACTTTCGTATTTCTTTTTTATACTTTTAAGTAATCATCGTTGGTGTCATTAATTTTCTTTAGTCGTGTCTTTTGTTTAATAACTTTCGTATTTCTTTTTCTATTCTTTTAGATAATGTGGTAACTGATTTGGTACTTTCTCTTTTAGTATACATCATTGGTGTCGTTAATTTTCTTTCGGTGTGTCTTTGGTTTAAGAACTTTCGTATTTCTTTTTTTATACTTTTAAGTAATCATCATTGGTGTCATTAATCTTCTTTAGTCGTGTCTTTTGTTTAATAACTTTTGTATTTCTCTTTCTATACTTTTAGATAATGTGGTAACTGATTCGGTACTTTCTCTTTTGGTATATGTCGCTGGTGTCATTAATCTTCTTTAGTCATGTCTTTTGTTTAAGAACTTTCATATTTCTCTTTCTATACTTTTAAGTAATCATCGTTGGTGTCGTTAATCTTCTTTAGTCATGTCTTTTGTTTAATAACTTTCATATTTCTCTTTCTATACTTTTAGATAATGTGGTAACTGATTTGGTACTTTCTTTTTTGGTATACGTCGCTGGTGTCGTTAATCTTCTTTAGTCATGTCTTTGGTTTAAGAACTTTCGTATTTCTCTTTCTATGCTTTTCAGTAATCGTTATTGGTGTCATTAATCTTCTTTAGTCGTGTCTTTTGTTTAATAACTTTCGTATTTCTCTTTTTATACTATTAGATAATGTGATAACTGATTCGGTACTTTGTCTTTTGGTATACGTCGCTGGTGTCGTTAATCTTCTTTAGTCGTGTCTTTGGTTTAAGAACTTTCATATTTCTCTTTCTATGCTTTTAAGTAATCATCGTTGGTGTCATTAATCTTCTTTAGTTATGTCTTTTTTTTAATAACTTTTGTATTTCTCTTTCTATACTTTTAGATAATATGGTAACTGATTCGGTACTTTCTCTTTTGGTATATGTCACTGGTGTCGTTAATTTTCTTTCAGCGTGTCTTTTGTTTAAGAACTTTTGTATTTCTCTTTCTATACTTTTAAGTAATCATCGTTGGTGTCGTTAATCTTCTTTAGTCATGTCTTTTGTTTAATAACTTTCGTATTTCTCTTTTTTATACTTTTAGATAATGTAGTAACTGATTCGGTACTTCTCTTTTGGTATACGTCGTTGGTATTATTAATCTTCTTTAGTCATGTCTTTGGTTTAAGAACTTTCATATTTCTCTTTCTATGCTTTAAGTAATCGTCGTTGGTGTTATTAATCTTCTTTAGTCGTGTCTTTTGTTTAATAACTTTCGTATTTCTCTTTCTATACTTTTAGATAATGTGGTAACTGATTCAGTACTTTCTCTTTTGGTATACGTCGTTGGTGTCGTTAATCTTCTTTCGGCATGTCTTTGGTTTAAGAACTTTTGTATTTCTCTTTCTATACTTTTAAGTAATCGTCATTGGTGTCGTTAATCTTTTTTAATCGTGTCTTTTGTTTAATAACTTTCATATTTCTTTTTCTATACTTTTAGATAATATAGTAATTGATTCGGTACTTTCTCTGTTATATATGTCGTTGGTGTCATTAGTTGGTACTTAACTTTTGGCGCGTCTTTTGTTACTTGTACCTTCATCTTTCGGTGCATCTTTTGTTGCTGGTATCTTTAGTTTGGTGATTTTATTTTTTTTTGGTGCTTTTTGTGTTGTTGCTTGTTGCTTGTTGCTTGCATCATTAATAGGTGCTTTCATCTATGGGTGTGTATAGTTGTGCATAGCCATTGGAATAGTGAAATCTAATAATACTATGTAAAACGATGTAAAATATGTTATTGTTATAAATAATAAAAAATTAAGTATTATTATAATAAAATTGAATATAAAATAATATATAATTACAATAAAAACATATTTATAGTATAATAATTTTATTTAAAAATTACAATAAAAATGTATTTAAAATACAATAAAAATATATTTATAATATAATAATTTTATTTAAAATTAAAATAAAAATATATTTAAAGTATAATAATTTTATTTAAAAATTACAATAAAAATATATTTAAAATACAATAAAAATACATTTATAGTATAATAATTTTATTTAAAAATTAAAATAAAAATATATTTAAAATATAATAAAAACATATTTATAATATAATAATTTTATTTAAAAATTAAATAAAATATAATATTATTATTAAAAAAATTATTATAAAAATATTTTTAAATTATAATAAAAATATTTTTATAATATAATTAAATTATTTTAAATAATATTATAAAAATAATTTTATAACATATTAGTTATATTATAATTACTAACTTATTACTAGTAATTATAGTAGAACCACTAGCGGGCTAAATAAGAACATATATTTATAAAAGGTTAGATATAATTATTATCAGAAATAATATAAATTGTATACATTACTTTAGTAGACCAGGTGTAAGATATTGTGTCAAATACTTGAATCTGTATTTTAATATTAATCAAAAGTAAAACTTAAAATAAATATTTAAAATTATTGTCGTAGCTGATGCTGAAATTCGGGATCACGATTTGAAAATGTAAGCCCTGTAAAATCCACATCTACTCTTTAATTATCAATTCTAATCCTAAAAAAAAAAAAAAATACTTTCAAAAATTTCTGAAAATTCATATCATAATAGGCCAAAATTTCAGCATCAACCAATTTTAGAATCAGCCGCGACAATTATAAAATGCATAATATTAAGACTATTATTCCATACCTGAGCCATATTAACAAGTGAAATTGTTGACGTACTAACCCCACCAATATAAATAATAAGACCATTTGGTAAAAATGTAGCAGTATAGTCGACATAAGCAAAGACAATCTGAGACTGAGTTGGTGTTGACCAAGTCATAGTAGTAATATCAAGTATATTCATATCATTATAATAAATAATTTTTGAACTATTAAAATTTGTTCCACCAAAAATAAAAATCTTTCCATTATTGTCAACAACAGCTTGTATTTCATTACGAGTTGCAAAGCTAGAATTAAAATTATTAATAGTTGGTGTTGTCCATTGTGAAATCTTAGAATTAAATTTATATACTGATGATGTATATGAATAATCTACTGTATTAGTTATCCATGTTCTTCCTCCGACTAAAAAAACTGTAGAATTATCAATATGACTAAGGCAAGAGCTACCAAAGTTATATCCTAATGACATTGCAGCATCACTATGCCATGTGGGTGTAGAAATATTAAATGAACTCGATAAATCAAGATACCAAACTTCATTAGAATCACTTGTAGGAGAAGTGTCTCCACCAAAGAAATAAAGTTTAGTACCAACTAATGTGCTAGCTTGATTATGTCGAGGACTAGGTGCATTTTGGCAAATAACAAAAAGATATACCGAGCTAAATATAACAAAAAAAAGGATAAAATATAACGATTTCATGATGATACCGAAGAATTGTATTAAGCACTAGTACGTATTTATGCTGTGATAGTTCAATCTGAGCATATATTCATACTTATTTCGTAAGTGATACGAACAAAAAAAGTGAATTTTTATATATTTTCTGTTCAACATTAATTTATTGCGTTGGCTTTTTTTTTGTTTTTTTTTAATACGTACAATCAGACTCCCTAATTTAAAAATGTGCAATTGTGCTTATAAAGTTGACAAAATTACTAATATTGACGGGTCCAAAAAAGAAATAAAATAAAATAAAATAAATTCTTTATGCTTCACAACAACGATGCATAATTGTTTACTAATCCCCGATCACTATATCAAGATCAAATAATTAATACCCGGATCAGGGCAAAAAATACTTACTTTTTTGCCGGCCACTCAAAAAGTATCATTTTTGACTCCCCATATACTAAGTCTGATTGGCTAAAAAAAAAAATTAACATAGTCAATTATTGTAACAATTTAAATACATACACTTCTGAATCTGATGTATCAGAAAAGACACTTTGCATTGGCGTAGTAAATGGCCGGTAAATAAGTACGTAGGTATTTTTTGCCCTGACCCGGATCCATATGTGAAAATTTCGTTTCCGCTAATTCCCAATGGATCAGGATTATACATGCTGTAGAAACTAATTGCGACTGTACTGAATGTTTTTAGGCTTCGGTTTTTCTGTAAAAATAAAGCCGCAAACTATAATTTATGCCGCAATTCGAAATAAAATGGCGAAATCTAAAATATATGTCAAAACCTAAGTTATAGCTGTTCTCATAAAATTTGGGACATCTGATAAAAATTGATCAAATGATTTGTAGCTGATTCGATATGTTTTTGATTTCAGTAATGAACGGTTATGTAATAATATCAAAGATAATGTATATCGACATCACTATTTTATTTTTGCGCTTCAGATAAGTTGGATATTATTAAAGGTTCCTTAGTTGTTTGATCAACCGTTTCAATATTTTATCAGATTCATACTGCTTTGCTTTTTGGTTTATATTTTAAAAATTAATTTATATTACATAAATAAATAAAATACTTATATAGATTTTACTATGATTTTATTGATTATAATTTTCAAACCAGTTTTGACAAATATTGAAAACTTAGCTGTTTGGAATTATAATTTGAGCTATATTTTCTTTAGTTCAGTCAATAAAACTTGTTCACATAGGATTTTTAGTGCCTCTTCGTGTGATATATTTTTATGTTTTTTGTTAAGATCTACCGTAGTGCACTGACCAAAAGACCCGGGGTCTAATACAAAATACCCAACAAAAAACTTACAAAAGACCCGGGTATATTATACAGCAGCGGGCCAGTGCCGCAAGAAAAAAAATTTTCAAGCATATACATATTCTGCACTTACAATAAGCAGTCTAAAATTTTAAAAAAAACCTATATTAATTAATAGAGGCCTCGTGTTTTGCACCGGGTACTTTGCAAGGGGGGATATTGAAAAAGGGGGATACTTTGGTCAGTGCACTACGGTATTTGTTGGCAAGAGCGGACATGCATTCAAGCGAAATCTTAATTTTGAATGGGTTGACATTGTAATACATTCACAAAAAAATATCAAAAGTTCCAAAACACATTCCCTTTTTTTAATGACCTTATACATAGAGATTATTTATGCAAATATAAATTTGCATAAATGATCTCTATGTATAAGGTCACTTAAAAAAAAAGGGACTGTGCTTTGGAGCTTTTGAAACATCCGGTATAATTATCGCTATATTACTAATCAAGCTCAAATCAAATCACTACCGAATCAAAAACTTATCGAATCGGGCCAAATAATCATTCGGTCAATTTTTTACCAGATGTCCCAAAATTTACGAGAACAGCTGTAATTTCCGCGGTTTTGTCTTATAAATTCTACTATTTATATTAATTTTTTTATTTATCATTATTATAAAATGCATTTACTTATTAACAATGCACAATCTCAAAGTTATCTACCAAAACATCAATATCGAATTCCATGCTACCATAGTCTTCTTTAAATTTGTTTTTCAAAATTTAGAATTAATTTATCAACTTCCGTACATTCGGTACTAAATGATCTAAATCTTTCTGCTTTTCACGTGCTAATATTTACTCTCTTGCCATAGTGTCCATGATCTTTGCGCTCTTCTTTTTGGATATAAATAACTCCATACCTTTTTGGTGGTCGTTCAGTTGTATTTCATAACTTGAAATTTGTAGCAATATGAGGATAATAAATAAAATATGCTTTTAATTATACATCGGGAAATTTTTTTAGTGCAGTTCTGTACAGATTTGCAAAAAAATCAAATAACGATAATAAATCAAATGAAAATTTAAAATTTTGCGGTTTTTATGCAAAAATCTGCAAAAATGCAGATTTTTGCAAATTTACACTTTTTAATTTTCCCGATGTTATATTAATTATACTTTATTACTTCATTGCGGTTTGCAAAAAGTTGTAATCCCGTGATTGTTGTAATGAAAATTTCCGAGATTCTAGATTTTCTAAATCATATTTTCTACATATTCGTTGAAATCTGTAAGATCGGAAAATCTGCTGATTTCGCATGACATCATGATCGGCTAAGGTCACACCTTTTTGCAAACCGATATGTATCATGTGAATACCATCATAATTATGTCACAATCCGATTTTCATGATTTTTTTACGCGCAATCCCACATTTTAAAATTTTTTTATATAAACCCTCACTTTTCAGTGAGTAAGACGGACGATTGATTTATGCATTAATGTTACACGGGTTTGCTCATCAAAAACATGACTGTTTATCAAAAAATCGTCCAATTTTCACAAAACTTTACCAGGGTGTTATACGGCTGCAAGGTAAATGGTTTGCTTAAAAACATCTAACGCATTTCATTTGCAAAAACCGTAATAACTGGTAATAGCTTGTTCTTTCCCAATCAATTCTACGCATTTGTAGGCGAGTATATTAATTATTAAAATTGGCACAACATTTATGAAATTCTAAAGCAAGTTGATTATTTGATTCAAAATCTAATGATTTAGTTAAATCTATAAGCATTACTTCATACCTACTAATGAATCAAATGAAGCATTAGTACTCTTTTTTTAAAAAAAATACCTGCAGATTTAACTAAATCATTGGAGATTGAACCAAATAATGCATAAACATTGAGAAGCTTTTTAATTAATACTGTATTCATTTTCACTATTAATCTGAGTAAAATATCAAGTTTTTCTATTTTTTAAATTCTTTTTCATTACTTTCCATATTATAATTGTTATTATTAAAGTCTTTTTTGGTAAGTGTATTTGCCTCTTTTAATTTAGATTAATAATTTTTGATCATCTTTGAAAATTTCTTTTTTATAAAACTTAATACAATGTTTGCATTTTCACTATAACAATCATTATAATAATCATGACTACAAACAAATATTATACCATTGTTATTAACAAGTAACACTAGGGTGTTCAATAAACTAATTTAATCAAAACATAGTTAGATGGACAGTGTTGTCAATGGACATGGACATATAAAAATATGGACGTCCATGTCCATGAACATATAAAACTATGGATATGTCCATGTCCATGGACATTGGGCATTGTGTCCATGGACTGTTCATATCCAATAATTTGCTTGGACATATGTCCATGTACAACACTGGATATAGACACTTATAATTTGGCATGAGTAGGGTTAAGTAGAGATGTGCGAATGCAAGCTTTTTTTGGCTTTGCATTGCATAATGCAACATTATGTCGCATGATGCATTATGCAATTCTGTATAATATGCTGTGAACCTCTTAAACCTATATGCAGTGAACAGACTTTGTATATTACTGAGAGGTTGAAAACACAAAATATAGTGGAAACAGACCTGATAGATTAATTTTTTATTGATTTCACAGGCTATATGAATTTGATAGAATCAAGTGTCTATAAAGTGATTGTTGATAAAATGACATGGATCAAAATTACATAATAACTTCTATGTGCATTTTTAAATTTTAGACAACTTGCTTCGCATTATGCAGCATTGTGCAGCATGTAACATTGCTGCATAATGCATATACGGCACATCTCTAGGCATAAGTATAAGCATGGGCATGGTATAGGCATGGGTGTGGGTATTGGCATGAGCATGACATTGAATATAGACACAGCATAGGCATAAACATGGCACGGGCATGTTACTATTAAAACCTACTCCCGGAGTGAGATCTGCTCCCTGATACTTGTGTGAATGTAAGAGTTAATGCAAAAACATACTTCCGATACTGAGTGAGAGCTTAGTGTGAATGTGAGAGTTACTACAAAAACCTACTCTCGATACTGAGTGAGATCTACTCCCCTATACTAGTGTGAATGCGAAAGTTACTACAAAAACCTACTCCCGATAATGAGTGAGAGCTGCTCCTCTATATTAGTGTGAATGCGAGAGTTACTACGAAAATCTACCCCGATACTGAGTGTAAATGTGGGAGTTACTACGAAAATCTACTCCCGATACTAAGTGAGAGCTGCTTTCAATACTAGTGTGAATGTGAGAGTTATTACTAAAACCTACTGAGTGAGTGAATGCGAGAGTTACTACAAAAACCTACTCTCGATACTGAGTAAGAGCTGCTCCCTTATACTGGTGTAAACGCGAGAGTTACTACTAAAACCTAATCCCAATACTGAATGAGAGATGCTCCTGATACTAATATGAATGCTCCCGATACTAGTGTGAATGTGAGAGTTACTACAAAAACCTACTCCCGATACTGAGTGAGAGCTTAGTGTGAATGTGAGAGTTACTACAAAAACCTACACCGATACTGAGTGAGAGCTGCTCCCCTATACTAGTGTGAATGCGAGAGTTACTACAAAAACCTACTCCCGATACTGAGTGAGAGCTGCTCCCCTGTACCAGTGTGAATGCGAGAGTTACTACGAAAATCTACTCCCGATACTGAGTGAGAGCTGCTCCCCTATACCAGTGTGAATGCGAGAGTTACTACTAAACCCTACCCCTGATACTGCTACCGATACTAGTGTGAATGTGAGAGTTACTACAAAAACCTACTCCTGATACTGAGTGAGAGCTGCTCCCCTATACTAGTTTATATAGTAAAATGGATTGTCAAAAATATGTCTTGTCAGAAAATAGGGTCATCAGTATTATGGTGTTGGAGGCTAAATGGGCGACAACACAGACCAAACAATCACCCAAAAACACACAAATCCAACCCACACCTTTCGATATACTCGATTGGTAGAGGCGGTTTTGATTTGGCAAGGTAAAGGCTAAATCAAGTATATTGTGGGTTTTAAACAATCGATTTTTATATTTATTCAAACACTTTCTTCATTGTCCTTTATTAGAGGGCGAAAAGAGCCCATATTTATACATTTTACATGCGGGGAAAGAACTAAAGAAAAATAAAAGAACTTTTCCTAATCTAACCCCAAGCCCCAACACGCCACTCCACGCCATGCCAGCTTTGCCTTCTCCGGCTAAGCTTTTGACACTACCAAGCTCAAATCGGTTCAATCCCGATTCTCCTTTTCTTTGTGGCTTTTGCCACAATTTAGCCATGTTTCAGCCGCAATCCAGCCACCATTACCTGCGCTTTGGTTCGGGTCTTTGTCACGTTTGTGACGTCGATTTTGACGCAGCAGGTTTTGGTAGTTTTGCCGGTAACAATGGACTCGAAGAAATGTTACTTCGATGAAGTGGATTCAGAAAGTTGAGCAACAACATTATTTTTTTTTTGATTGTTAAAATTATTTTCTCCAATTACTATAGCATACAATAGAAGTTTAATGTTATTAAGGAAAACACCACCATAAGCCGTATACAAGTTCCTCCAGATATCAGACCCTTATGTACTGTACCCAGGTCTACAGCTGGGATAAGTTTTGGTAGTGTTCAAAGATAAGCCGGCTTATCACGGCTTGCTGCGGCTTAATGCGGCTTATCATGTGATAAATTCGAATTTATCATCAAACCATGTGATATCCTCGAATTTATCACATGATATTTTCGTGATTATCACATGGCTTGGTGATGAATTCGAATTTATCACATGATAAGCCGCATTAAGCCGCAGCAAGCCGTGATAAGCCGGCTTGTCTTTGAACACTAAGTTTTGGTGAAATGTAAGAGACCCGGAGTATACAAATAGGGAAAAGCTAATCAAATAGAATAAACCCCAATTATCAAACCCACACCCACACAAGAGACCCACAGGTCTAATTATTGGTTTTAAAATTGTTAAAATGAATTAGAACCCGGGCCTTGTATACAGCAGTTTACGGTATTGTGAATCATCTTGTCACTTTTTAAAGTTTGAATTGTCTTTAAAATTTTAGGGCTTTAATGTCGTAAAAAAATAATCCTCGCTTTCTACTATACATTTTTTATTTTAATTTTGTAATCTATTAAAAAATGAAAAATAAATACGTACAAACTCTTTAACTTCACTATCTTTTAAAATAAAGTATGGGCTTGTAACCTATTAACTATGATAATTATTTCCAGGCACAGGAACTCAATACATAGAATTTCGCGCATGTGTTTCGGGTGGAGGTATTCAGGGTGTATAAACCGTAGGCATATGTTTTTCACGTATAAGATCATCCCTGAATGTACCCGGTGTCGCAATAAATTCTTCTTTATGCCGATTTTTATGAATAAAAAATCCAATAATAAATAAAGCTACTGCCAAAATAACTACACCTATACCAATTCCAATTCCAATGTATAAATTTGAAGAATTATTATTCTCTTGACTAGTTGAGGTAACCCAGGCGTAAGTTTGTATGTCAAGAATATAAATATTGTTTGTGTATAAATTTGTTGCAGAGGTTGCGCCTATATATGTGAAAATTTAAACAATTTTAATAAATAAATAAACATATAAAAATTAATTACCGAATGCAAGTATCATATAATTTTTGTATAATGCAGCAGAATGCTGTGTGAGTGGTGGTGCACTTGGTCCAGAACACTTGGAATAGACCATTCCCAGGAATTTGTATTTAATACTGGAATGTCAGAAAACACATTTTCCCCACGTTGCCAGAATTAATTGTTGCACCTCCATATATGATAATATTTCTATCCTGAGCTAAAAATACAATAATTACGTAGAAAGTCAGATATCCAAATCAAAATTTAACTGTTAATGCAATGTTATTATATGTGACATACGTACTTAAAACAGCAGAATGAAATGCTCGAGATGCGATTTTAGAACCATTAGCAAGCTAAATAAAAACATATATTTGCAAAAAAATTAGACATAATTATTATAATTAGAAATAATATTAACTGTATGCATTACTTTAGTAGACCAGGTGTAAGATTCCGTGTCAAATAGTTGAATCTGTATTTTAATAGTAAACTTAAAATAAATAATTGAAAATTATTGTCGCGACTGATGCTGAAATTCGGGATCACAATTTGAAAATAAAAGCCCTGTTAAAATTCACATCTACTTTTTAATTATCAATTCTAACCATAAACCCTAACCTAACCTTAAAAAAAAAGCTAAAAAAAAGTTTTAAAAATTCATATCAAAATAGGCCCACATTTCAACATCAACCAAGTTTAGCATCAGACACGACAATTATAAAATGCATAATATTAGACTATTATTCCATACCTGAGCCATATCATTAAGATTTGCTTGTGAACTTGTTGACTTACTACGCCCACCAATATAAACAATAAGACCATTTGGTAACAATGTAGCAGTATAGTCGACATAAGCAAGGGCGGTCTGAGACTGAGTTAGTGTTGACCAAGTCACAGTAGTGATATCAAGTATGTTCATATCACTATACCAAATAGTTGTTGAATTATCATAATTTGTTCCACCAAAAATATAAATCATTCCATTATTGTCAATAACAGTTTGTATTTCACTACGAGTTGCAAAGCTAGAATTAAAATTATTAATAGTTGGTGTTGCCCATTGTGAAGTCTTAGAATTAAATATATATACTGATGATGTATATGAATAATAATCAGTAGTAGCTGAAGTAATTATCCATGTTCTTCCTCCGACTAAAAAAACTGTAGAATTATCAATAGGACTAAGGTAAGAGCTACCAAAGTTATATCCTACTGGCATTGCAACATCACTATGCCATGGCGGTGTAAAAATATTAAATTAACTCGATAAATCAAGATACCAAACTTCATTGGAAGCCCTTGTAGAAGAAGTGCCTCCACCAAAGAAATAAAGTTTAGTACCAACTAATGTACTAGCTTGTTCACATCGAGGACTGGGTACATTTTGGCAAAATATACTGAGCTAAATATAATAAAAAAAAAGGATATAATATAACGATTTCATGATGATATCAGAAGAATTGTATTAAGCACTGATGGTGATAGTATTTATGTTGTGACGGAAAAAATATGTCTACTTATCTGAACATATAGGGGCATCCATAATTTACGTTAAGCCAGTATCGTTATAGGGATCTTAAAGATAATACTATATATTATCTTCGATGTCTCTAATTCTATAAAATACTGTACTTCTGTACTTGTTTAACGTAAATTATGGATGCCCCCATACCGATATTTATTTCGTAAGTGGTACTGTACAAACAAAAAAGTGAATTTTTATATATTTTCTTTTGAACTTTAATTTATTGCGTTGGCAAAATTATGTAATCATTGCTTTTTTCTTAATATAGTCCGACTCCCTAAATGCACCCCTGGGATTATAATAAAAAATTCGAAAATGTGCATTAGAGAAGTCATCCCTATGAGAAAAGCGGTCCGGGTTGTGGCTCGGGTTGGTTTCGGGAATGCACGAAATGGTACGGATGTGTGGTACGTAGAGGCTCATTTTACGTGATGGTACGGCTAAAAATGGCACGGACATTACGGAAAAGTGGTCGTATTGAATGAT